ATGACGGCACACCAGTCTCCCTCACCTTCGTCAGCCCTACCCTCTTGAAGGACATCCTCAGGCGGGCGGTTGTTAGGGACCTGGAGATGCATGTGGGAAGGAGTTTGGACGTTGGGTGGGATAGGGCTTGCTTCGATATCTGCAAGAGCCAGCTTCGTTCGAAGAAATATTCTGCTCTGGAGAAGGGTTCGATCAGGAACCTGTGCTGCGGTGGAGCCTGGACAGCCGACAGAGCCGCTGAGGTGGGCTACCAGCTCAGCGTCGAGCAGTTGCTCTGCCCACTATGTCGTGCTCATCCAGACTCTGTGCATCACAGGCTTTATGTGTGCCCAGCTGTTTCTGAGACCCGCAGCGAGCTTATTCCTCCAGAGATCCTTGAGATTGCCCTGGGTCCGCTGTCGGATGGGGATCGCATCCTTTTCGATCGGGGGATCTTCGAGCATCCCGAATCGTTCTGGCCTAGGGCCCTTAGCTCGGGGGGTGGGGCCATCCTGCCAGCTACTGAGGAAGAGGACTTCTCGGAGGAGCTCGCTAATGGGGACCTGCAGGGTAGTATCTATGTTGATGGGAGTTGTTTTTGGCATCCCATCCCAGAACTTTCAAGGGCGGGCTGGGGGGTTTGCATGGTCTCCCCCCAGGGCTCCCTCCAGTGCGCCCTGCATGGCCCTGTGCACCACCCGATTAGCCAGACAGCACCAGCTGGGGAGCATTGTGCCCTCGCCATGGCCGCTCTCCATGTTGTTGCCAATTCTGAAGTTTTTTCTGACTGCCTTGCGGTAGTTAATCATTTCCGCCTGCCCCCCAGTGAACGTGTTTCGTTCAGGAGGCGTTATGCTGGCCAGTTCCTGTATATCAATAATGCCCCGTTTGTCCAGTCTGTGGTGAAAGTTAAAGCCCACCAGGACAAGGACGAGTCGGGCATTTCGGATGATGAGAGAATCCGCAGGGTCGGTAACGATTTCGCCGACAAAGCTGCGCAGCGCGGGGCCCGCTCTCACCCCCAACCTTCGCCCGAAGAAGAAGAGCGAGTGAACCGTGCTGTCAAGATTAGTAAAGTTGTGTGCCGACTAGCGGCCAAGTTGCTCCCAATGTGGCCACGATTGAACTTGGAGGGTGCTCCGTTTGTCGCTCCGTGTCGCACCACCCGTGGCCCCGAGGAGCCCGTGGTCCAGCTTCAGTGGCAGTGGCAACACTCTGTGTGGAGGTGCGTTGTTTGCAGGTTAGGCTCTCGTTCTTGTGTCATGCCGCCTGGTGGTTCGTGCACCGGCGCTGCCAGAGCAGATCTGGACATCGCCGACTCTCTTTCGCACAGCGTTGTGATTCTGCCGTGCACAGATGGTTCTGATTTTTATTTCTGCCCCAAGTGCGGGGGATTTATGCATCAAGCTGTGTTTGTCAAGACTGCTTTGTCCAAGGAATGTCCTAGCGAGTTGCGCGGCCATGGCCGCACGAATTTTAACAAAGTCATGCTAGGCCGCCACCCAAGGAAGAACCTGGGGGTAGGCCGACCTGAAGAGTTGCCAGCAGGGGCGTTTCCCGCCCTTGCGCCCTCGTCTTTGCCCGTCCCCAACTTTTGAACGGATTGTTCGAAATCATTGGTCTCAGAGCGCTTTCCCTTTCTAGGGATGTGTTTTAGTTTTGTCTCGTCCCCCTTGCGGGGGTCGAGGAGCATCCAGCCCTTTTGGCGTCGTGTTGCGGCCCAACCGTGTGCTCGCTCTGCCATCAGCGTGGAGCGAACGCAGCAGGCTGAGATGGTTTTCCCCCTGCTCCCCCCAATGCGGGTGTGGGCGAGGGGGTCGCCGCTGTTTCCACGGCACTGCGGGACTGGCAGCCGTTCGGCGTGAGTCCCCCCGCAGTTGCCGTGACGTCAGCGGCGGGGCAGGGCTGGTGGCGTAAGTGGCATGTGGCGCCACCCAGCCTTGCCCCTCCTCTGGGGGGAGGCGCCGTCCCCCCAGAGAGTACGGCTTGGCAGTTGTTGATGTTAAAAAAAATCCTCGTCGTCCTCGTTCTCCTCCTCCTCCTCGTCCTCCTCCTTCTCCTCCTCCTCGTCCTCCTCCACCCCTTGAAGCTTCGGGGCGTGATCCCTGCCGGCCCTGGTGAGAAGGCAGGGCCGTTGCACAACCAAGTCGCAGGGGATTCTGCCAGACGCGCGCAAGGCACCAGTCTAGGTGTGTTGACGTAGGCCCGCTGATGCGGATGTCCCGTCCTGTCCTCCTCTTCCTCCTCCTCCTCCTCCTCCTCCTCCTCCTCCTGTCCTCCTCCTCCTCCTCCTCTTCCTCCTCCTCTTCCTCCTCCTCTTCCTCCTCCTCCTCCTCCTCCTCCTCCTCCTCCAACCTGTGGCAATTGTTGTGTCACCAGTGCGGGGAATTTGAGGACGTGTGTCATACCCCGACCAGGAAGGGTTTGGAGGCGTTGGCCCGACTGGAACGCGAGTTCCCGCCAAAATCGCGAATGATTTTTCCTCGGTGATGCGGCGATCCGCGACCAGGCTTGTACCTGGGAGCCGCGTCCAAACCGTAGCGCCATAGCTCCTCCTCCTCCTCCTCCTCCTCCTTCTCCTCCTCCTCCTCCTCCTCCTCTTCCTCCTCCTCCTCCTTTCCTCCTCCTCCTCCTCCTCCCTCCTCCTCCCTCCTCCCTCCTCCCTCC